TATTTCTAACTCAGCTTCCCCATCTCTGAAACACATGTGTTGTCACATGTCACAACTTGTCAGTCTCAAAGTTTTATTATGATACCCTATTTGTTCTGTTCTATTCTGAAGAAATAGCTTTAAAAACATCAAGAGTATCCATTAATGAACCAAGCTGAAACCCAGACCATTCAGAGAAGACAAATACTGATTATCAAGATATTTGTCTGAACTTGTTCCCATTTACTGTGTCTGGAATGAAAAATGACATTAATCATTGTAACAAACAAATTTGTACATAGTTTACCTTACAACCAACTGAAAGAATTTATGCTTACATTAAAAGTAATCCTTAGACAATAGCTGTTATCATATTACCATGATGCATCAGTATTTATTCATTTTAGTGCGATTAGCTCTCCTCCAGTAAATATTTAAGTACTCTTCAGAGTATGTTTAGCAAAACAAGTTGCCAGGGGCCAGTTCTGTGTTCATCCCATTAAGACTGCTAACATTCCTCATGAAAATTCAACAAAACTTCTGTAGATGACCTATCTGACAGTTTCTGATCCCCTATCATTTCAATGCTGGTGTGTTATAGGGCAGCAATAAAATATCATAACTGCATTTGCTTCCTTTTCTGCAGCAGACATTTGATTTGTTGGTAGCCCCCACCGGGGCTGGCACTGAGCTCAGTGAGCTACATTCACTTTTAAAAAGCAGCATGAAAGGAAGAATACATCTGGAAAGTATCAGTGGACCTGCTGAGTAGATAATGGGACACGCAGGTATAAATGTGCAGCCATAATGGCCAGAAAGTACTCTGACATTCAAGTTGCTCAATAACCTTGATAACAGAAACCAAAGAACATCACTCAGTAGCTCCTCCATAACAGGAATTATTCTGTCTTCCTTTATTCTATCATTTAATAAATTTTATGTTCACTTCCTGCTGATGTTTTGCTCTTCTCTCTTTTACTGCCTGCATCTCTCTTTCCATTCTTACAGTATTTTCATCTTTGCTCTCCCACTTCATAGTTTTTCACTACTGTTTACCCCAGCAGTTTCTTCTGCTTCGACCATCCTCTTCCACCTGTCCTGGTACAACATGTCCTGATAAAGACAAAGGAGGCAATGCTATGCTCTGAGGAAGAGCATGGTGTGAAGCAGGTACCAGAGCAAGCTTCCTTTGAGAGGAATTGGATATTACTAATGCAGTGAAAAACATGATAAAAGGCCCTGGGTATGGAAGAGTCATTTTACTTCCTTTCAAATTATAAAAATGATAATAAAGAAAAATATGTGGGTCCATTAAGAAAAGGGATGCTCTACAGAGGGTGTAAGGAGGAATATAGTTACCCCTTAACTGTGATCAGTTTTTAATTAATGCACGCTCATTTCTGCCAGGGATCAGTGCTGCATTTATGTTCTGTGTTAAAGAAGACACGGCTTCACCAGTTTCTGGAGCTTCTGATGATTTCAGTGAGAGGAAGACTAAGCCATTCTGATGAGCAGGCTCTTCAGGGAGAGACAGGCAGAATGCATGCACATGTAAATTTTCTCAGCAGAAGGCTTCAGTGGGAAGTATTAAGTGATAGTGAAACCCTCAGTTGTTTACAAAGATATTAAGCTACCAGGATTTTTTCCTGCTCTCCTTGCCCAGCAAGGAAACCAGAGCAGAAGGCACAACAGAAATGCTCAGCCAGAGGTAGGCCACAATCCACAGCCCAAAACAGGTTTACTCCCACATATGAAGAGTCCTGTTAGTTAACAGGAGAATCGGATCTGTACAACATCCTGAAGGAAGAAGTTCCCAGAGTGGTAAATAGTAAACCCACCGAGGAAAGCTTCCTGGATGGCATCCCAGCAAGCACTATGTACACACACAACGCTCTAGAAAAGTCAGGCCCCAGCTAAGTTACCTGGTGCATTAAAGTGACCCTGATAGGAGAGATCAAAATAGATGAAGTTATTTTGAGATGAGGAGAAATGTTAAATCTTGGAAAGGGATGTATGACAGGTGTTTAATGTTTCCTCAACAGATGCATGAGCTATGCGTGAGCTCCCTTACTGCAGCAAGCACATTCCTCAGTAGATTCAACTAGCAATGTAGGATTTAAGCCTCAACAAGCAACTGTATGACATTTGAATGAATAGAGAAGCTCAAAGTAATAATAAAAAAATCTGTTCCCAAGCTCAAACAGCAATCTTCACCAGGGAGACTTAGAGATATCTGAGTCTTAAAAGAAAGTCGGCCAAGCATTGTGACAGCTTGATACAACCTCTCACTGTTCACTGCTTTGTGTCATTAACTCCAGCTTAACCAGTGCCCTGGATTCAGTGCATGCTGCAGCAAGAAAGAGACAAGTTTCTTCGCTGACCTAGATGGAAGACAGTTATTTTCAGGTTATTAATGTGCACTTCTCTTGCATTCTGTGAGGTAGGCCTGTTTCTTTTCCACTATGAACCACTGACATCTAGCTGTGTACTGACAGGCTGATATCACACTTGGACTGAACATTAGGGGGATTAAAAAAAAAAATGAAAGTGAAGAAATGTCAGTATCCCCATTGCAGTGCCCACCATTGAGTCATGAAGTTGAACTTACTTTTTCTGTTGCTGAGTTCGCTCTGTGCAGCACCTTCAGTAATCAGAACTCCTCAGCAGAATAGAGCACTGGATCCAAACATCAGGTGCAAAGGCAGGTACTGGGATAACACAGACCTGCATAGGCTCTGTTAGCAACAAAGCTGCAATATCTAATATCTTGGGCTGCAACAAGTCTGAAAGAAAGTATAACAGCCAAACCAAACCTTAGGCAGCTTCATGAATACCTCAAGGGTCAGAAGTACATGTAGAAAGATGTCTATACTAGCTTGCTTAGAAAGAAGAGAGGTATGGCCAGACCAGGCAACAACAGAGAACACGTTCACCTTCCTTGGCCTGGCTCTTAGAGTGCTTACACTTGATGAAGAAAGCAGCATGTTTCCACAGAGAATATTCTTTCTGTGTCTCTCACTTTGATAAGCACATTTAAAATCTAATGCATCTCAGTAACTGAGTCTGCCTCTCCCTGCAACCAAGGGAGACGAGAGCACAGAGATAGCGCAGAGTCAGTTTGCATGTTTTACTGGTTCACCAATTACACATTCCTAAGCATTTGGCCAATTCCTCTCCCCAGCTGCTAAGCAGTTGGCATAATAACCAGTAAAATTGTCATCAGCCAAGTTTAAGAGAACTTACACATTTCCCATCGTGATACTGCTGACAAAAATATCCTCACAGATGCTACACACAGCACTACAAAGAGAGCCACACAGATAGCAAGAGCAAGCTGGAGAGACCATAGTGTTCATTGCAATACTGGAAACAGTTTTTCCATTCTCTCCCACGCACACTCATTACATAACACCTTGTTTAGGAGTCTCCTGAGCAGCTTGTACAAGCAAAACAATAGATTTCCATACTTAGCAGCCTCAACATATTCAGTGAGCATTAGCTAGTTAATAGGCAGTTTGCCCCCTCAAGTCATGGGGTACATAAGCTGTGACACCAAAGATAGCTGAGGAAGACAGAGAAAGAAGAGATATAAACAAGAGCAGAGCCTGACCCAGATGCTAGGGTAGCTTTCACAAATACACTGATAACGTGTAAAGTTTATTTGGGGTACAGAGGTACTTTATTATATATTTAAACTGACACTGATTAAGAACACCCTCATTGAAGCATGCATAACGTGGGGAGCGTGTACATCTTAAAGAAAAAGATGAAATAGGCTTCTCTGCTGCAAAAGACAAATAGTAAAGCCAGTCAACAAAAGCTTCCAACATAACATTGAGTGTTATCTGCCTGTCCTCAGACATGGCAAAAAAAAAAAAAAAAAAAAAAAAAAAAGAAAAAAAAAAAAGAAAATCTATCCAAAAACAATACAGGAATCCTGTGTGCTCCAAGGGTGCTCTTTCCTGGACCACTGTTTCTCTAAGTCTTTCTCGTATCTGCAGTTGTGCCAAAGAAAGGGGCAAGGCACTGACAACAGTGATGCCTCTCCCCAGCCAGGTTTTTTAGCTACCAGCTAAAAAACTTCTGAAACTCTCATGATTTTTCATTATGAAGGCATCAGAGGCAACCTCTGCCTAAGAAGCTCTTGCCATCATTCCAAACTTTCTCCACTCCCCATGCAAACTCAAGTTATGGCAGCATCGTGCTCAGGCATGCATGGTAATAGCTTGTTAAACAGACATGAATTTTGCTTTTTAGGCTGGGGAAAAAAAAAGGGGAAAAAAAAGCACAAACCAGAAGCAAAACGGTTTAACAAATATGATACCAGCAGCAGATGTCATGAGCAGCTGTGTTGACACAGCAAAGGGAGCAACACAGCATGGTAGGAACTGCACAGGCTCCTGCTGCTGCTGGAGCACCACACTGGGGGCAGCACCTTGGATGGGCCAGGAGCCAGCACAGCATGAAATGTAACCACCAGCCTGATGAGGAAACGGGGGAGTGTTTTTCTTCAAATACATCTTGCCTGTCAGTGTTAACTGAAACTGCTGTAGGAAGACATCCTACAGCCCCCTAGGGAGCTGCTGCTGCTTTTCAAGGTAGGAGATTCAGTTTATGACACAGGTCAGCATTTCAGCATTACCTCACCCTCTAAGTTTCAAGAGAAAGTTGCCATGCTTATGCAGATGCAATGGCTGATCTTAAGGCTACTCTCAAAACAATCACCTAATATCCACGCTAGAAACCACTCATCTCCATGGCTCTTAGCAGCCAGTGATATTGGCACTGACTGGATACCTACACTCTCCCCCATTTGACTTTTCACAGCCTTGCCTCTAGAATATATTTTGCAGTTTACAGACATACTGCAGGCTTAACACACTGAAAGACCCCCAACTGCAGCTTTACATGCAGTGCCTAGTTACAGGCTTCTCACCCTCCATTTAAACCCCCTAGCCAGTCTGCACAGAGAAGAAACTACATCCATTTCCACTGGAGAAGAAAAACCAGGAGAAATCTGAGTTGCCTTGGAGAGAAAAAAAAAAAAAAGCCACACCATCTGAATGACTACAGGTAAAATACAGGAAACAGGCTCCCAAATACTGAGCTGGTAGGGTCTGTCTGGAAGTAGTTCTCCAAGTAACTTTTCTGTCTGAATGGATTAATGTATCTGAACCTGGTGGACAGTAGGACCTTCCTGTTCTATGCTACAAGCAGAATAAATGAAACAATGATGCACAACAAGCATTAATACTGGTATGTCCTCAGTAGTGCTATAGTCTCAAGTACAGACCCAATAGCGCTCAAGCAGTCTTTCTAGTTACATAGGTGCAGAACACAACCTTTAAAAGGTCTTGGGAAAGGTCATTTTCTGGATTGCACTTTATCATGTAAGTTTGCTTGATCTGGATCCTAATAGAACGAGCCTCAAAGAGACCAAGGAGAGTTTTATTAGAATCACGCTTAAAACAACTTTACATATCCTTAAGACTGAATTGCTGTCAACATTTATACACAGTGTATAGAAGGCTCCTGAGATGGCACTCTGAATGCAGAGACCAAGGAGACAGTGCCAAACACAATCCTCAGCCCAATGCACATGTGGTGATGCTGTAGTTACAGCACAACACTATTTCATCATTCCAATATTAGATAATTCATCAGCTTTACCATCACCGTGAACAAGCCCAGATGAAGTTTCTCAGGTGCTGTCAGATGAAGCAGACTTTCACACACTGAATAAGGAGATTCCAGCTACCCACCCATCTGCTTTAAAGGCAACAGGTAGTGGAACGAAGACCATCTGTTTGATGCAGCAAATACTTCATGGAAAGGCATAAGGTTGAGTCCTTTTCACAGTTATTCATAAAAGCAGTCCGACTGCTTTCTTCTGGAGAATGTTGATAGGGAAACTTAAACACCTTTCAGCCACCCACCTAGATAGGCATACAAATATAGACCAAAAAATATGCAGAGCACTGGGCTGGGGAAAAGAAGCCAGCAACAGCAACACAAGCTGTGTGTGTGGCAACAGCTAGAACTCCTGTGAATGGCCATTTTTGTGGGGTGGCTTAAGTGTCACTGTCTTCTTAGGAACAAGCTCAGGAAGAACATTAGGTAACACCCCTCCTTGAGCGATGGTCACACAGGAGAAGAGCTTGCTCAGCTCATCATCATTTCTCACAGCCAGCTGGATGTGTCGGGGCAGGATCCTGGCCTTCTTGTTTTCCCGTGCAGCATTTCCTGCCAGCTCCAGGATCTCTGCAGTCAGGTATTCCAGCACTGCAGCCATGTAGACTGCAGAACCGGGGCTGATCCTGTCAGAGTAGCGGCCTCTCTTCAGGAGCCCGTAGACCCGGCCCACAGGGAACTGCAGACCAGCCATGGCTGATTTCGTTTTCTTTGACACAAGAGGGAGCCTTGTGTTTTCATTCTCACGTGCAGACATTCTAGCGTCAATCTAGCGTAAGGAAAGGAAGAATTAGCAATAAGGAAAAACAACAGAAATTGAGTATTTAAGTCTGTCCTGCCTTCCTTGTCATTCCACTGCCTCTCTCATTCCTGAGAAATCGTTTTTTGTTTCTCAAGAAGTTTGCTAGTTGTTTCACGTTCCTGTCTGGAGGAGCAGATGTGTTAGGCTGCTTCTCCATGAAACTGACATGTTTCCAGCCAAGGGACACCTCCCACCTCAGTCAGAGCAGAGGTCAGCTTTCTGCTAGGCTCCTGAACTTCTCAAGAAAGAGATGTGCAACAGGGAACAAGGTTTTCTGATCCAGTATCAGAGGAGCACTGCTGCTAAGGAAAAAGGTTAAGCAAACAAGGCTTCAAGATGCAACAAGCATTCAGAAAGCCTGCAGGGAATCTTCACTGAACTTACCCCTAGCAGAAACACGAACAGCTTCTTAACCATGTCCTCCAAGCAAACAGCTAAAAATTTATATGTTTTTCTGATGTAACAACAGAAAAATAAACAAAAAAATCCCCTTCATCTGCTGGAAACCACTTCAAACAGAGCCTGTCTTCTAAAGAAGAGGAGACCTATGCTGCAAAGTGACAGGCTACAAACAAAAACAAGACTTACAAAGAAGAGAAGCTGTTTTTACGTCGGAGACTGAAATTGTTCTACACTGTATATTGCAGCAGATTACTACAAATACATGAGTGCCATCTACTTGTATACTGTTCCTCTTTTTATTTTTCTCTGAAACGAGCCTCCATTACTTATTACTGATGAAGTTCTTAGCACTGAATAGCACCAGCTCCTCTTTGATACATAACAAAAAAAAGGTAAATATAGGAAAATCCCACCCCTATGCACAGGATTGCTTTTAAGTTTCAATTGTAAGCTGTTTTGAAAAAAAGGAGGGACTTCCCTCAGATTTCAGGAGAAACTAAATCAAATATTATATTAAAGCATTTTGAAGTATAATAATAGAAAGGCTCTTATAGATTTCTGAGGACCCACCCTAGAAAAAGGGAGCTTTAGAATTAGCCTAGATAAACAAAGCTAAGATTCACTTTAAACAACAGCCTTACACAAACAAACAAACCAATTATAAAAGCCACTACCTCATTCAATAGTGGCTTTTACTCATCCAGTTCATTTCCAACACAAAGAAGGACACCCTTAAAGAAAAAGCCCTTACCAATACAAGTTGCTTTAGGCCTTCTCTCCAGAAAAACCACAACCAAAACAAACCACCCTTTCTTCCCACAGCTGCCCCCTTTTTAAGCTCCAGACTGGCAGCCATATCATCAGCACCTCTTGCCTCATTTAATGCCACCTGAGTGAGTGAAAATTCAGCCTCTCAAAATGAGAAACAATGAAAGTCACAACACTTGAGCAACACAGTGCAGTTCTTAAGAGCAGGTGAATTTGGTACTCTTCCTTGAAAAGCTGCTTTGCATTGTCAGCTAATTTTCTCCTCTGAAGACACATTATTTACTGCCTTGAAGAAGGGTGATACCTCTGACTGGCAATTCATTTATTACAGCTGTACTGGGGCATACTGCACCCTGCTGCAGTCATCAAGAATTCAACCTAGTAGCCTCTACTGTGGTTGATTTTGCTGCCAGCAGTGGCCAAACTGCTTTATGAGCACATTACAGAGCTTGGGAAAGGCTCAGGACCTCTGGTTGCCTCCATTTCATGGTTTGTCCCCCTTTGTCACACAGTTCATTTTTTTTCCAAAGTCATGTGTAGCTGTGTTGCAAGGTTTTGTATGTTCTTTCAAGGGTTGAGTGTGTGGTGACAGCTGAATCTATTATTTCTCCAACGTATGAATGCTGAAGGGTTGAGACTAGGCCCAAAAGAAACTTTCACTAGCAGCTGAGCTAGGAGGCATCCATTCTCAGACATCCAAAGCTAGAGGGGTGTTTTCAACTCACTCTGCAATCTGGTTAGTTTATGATTGAATTAAACTACTAGCTAGAAAAAAACAAATGAGATTGTTCTCAATGAAAGAAATTCTGAAAAAACAGACCTTGGAATTCACCACAAACTCAGTCTTTGGGGATAGGGCCTTTCTTCTCCCTCAGCTCTTTCATCACACAGAAAATGTCAAGTAAAGGCCTTTCCAGTAGCTGCATGAACACTGGATGTGCCTCCGAGGGTCTGGCGTTTGGTGTGGCGCAGAGCAGAACCACAGAAGCAGTTTTCATCCTGGAGCAGCACTCTGAAACATAGCTGTCTTGATTAGCAGAAGGCTATAACTGCCACACTTAAACCTGCATGAAATGAGTATCTTGCTTGAATCTTCTCTCATTACTGCAAGCTTTTAGATTTTCGCTTCACCGAAAGAAATAATCATTCCCGCCATTGCTTTGCACAGTCAAATAGTGGGATTAACTTGACTTTCACATGTTCATTTCACATATATGTCCTTTAAGCCTTTTTATTATTTTTTTTTCCCCAGTTAGCAACACAAGGCTGAAGTTGCATGTAGAACAAGAGGGATTGGAAGGAGCAGCCTTAAGTTGTGCCAGTGGACGTTCAGGCTGGATACTGGAAAAACATCTTCTCCAAACAAATGGTGATGCAGTGGCACAGGCTGCCCAGGGAAGTGGTGGAATCATCGTCCCTGGAGGTGTTCCAGAACCGTGTGGATGTGGCACTGAGGGACGTGGTCAGTGGGTAATACTGGTAGTAGGCAAACACCTGGACTAGATGATTTTTGAGGGCTCTTCCAACCTTAATGATTCTATGATATAATACATTTTTATGCACAAAGCAGCAGATCTACTCCCAGGCATTTTTACATTTCTTTGCTCCAGCATCCCCCACTTTCTCACTTCAGTGAAATGCGTAGGCCAACCAAAAGCTCATCAAACTGATCTTTGCAAACAGGCTGTGTACAACTCCTTCAATTGCCCACTACTGTGAAAAATTCAAGATGTTTGCTTTGCTCAGGAATCCTTCTCCTTTCCCACTCTTACTTAAGTACAGCTTTGAGTTGTTTACATTATGAATCACTACAGCTCCAAAGACCCTCAAAATTGTGAAAGCTGACCTGTAGGCTCTGGCATACTCATGCTTTGAGGGAACCCAGGTCAAATTCAACATGACAGGCATATCTTATATAAAACAGGCTTTCACTCTGCCTGCAGGTTAGGAAGATGGTCCTAACCAGCTCTTCTTTGTAAGATGCTGTGAAGTCTGTGAGACAGTACCTCAAAGGCAGACTGATCCTAATACACTTGCACCAGATCTTGTTTCCCCACTCAATAGCAAACCTCAATATCCACTACAGAGTGAGAAGCCTAGGAATCTTCTCAAGGGAAAGCTTTCACTTTGAGTGAGTTAGTTAGAAAAGGCCTAGGAGTTTGTTTAGAGGAGAATATACTTGTTATTCTGCACCAATAGAAAGAAGCAAAAGAATCACCTCCACCAACAGCACAAGGTTTAAATAGTCACCGGGTAGCCAGTATAGCAAGGAGGAGAAAGAAGTTTAGCCTCTTATGAGAGATAGCTCACTGCAGCTCTCCAAGCAGTAAAGCATTAAAGCAAAGGGTAATCAACTCTAAAGCAGAATTAACCTGTGAGGTGCTAAACTAACTGCACTGAGGCCATGATAAATGTTCACATGAACATGTCTCGATTCCTCTGCCTGCTCTACAACCTTTACCTGAAAACATATTATAGAAGTAAACAAGCAATTTTAAAGAGTTACTTGGGTGGTATGCTAGACCAAGAAAATAAGGCAATCACATTTCTGTGGAAATGAAGCTGTGGAAAGAAAGGAGAACAGTGTTGCTTTCTGGAAATTTTTATTACAATCTTTAAAAATGCATTAAAAACAGTGGAAAAAATTACAAAAAATTAAACAAATTAGTGCTGAGTCCCATTATTCAAAAGTGCACAGATCAGATCAGAAAAGGCAAGTTTCACTGGCTACCAGTTTGTTCCTGAGTCACACCAGTATTTTTGGAAGTTTTCTTGGGAAGGAGCTGAGGGAGGATATTTGGCATAACCCCTCCTTGAGCGATGGTCACACAGGAGAAGAGCTTGCTCAGCTCATCATCATTTCTCACAGCCAGCTGGATGTGTCGGGGCAGGATCCTGGCCTTCTTGTTTTCCCGTGCAGCATTTCCTGCCAGCTCCAGGATCTCTGCAGTCAGGTATTCCAGCACTGCAGCCATGTAGACTGCAGAACCGGGGCTGATCCTGTCAGAGTAGTGGCCTCTCTTCAGGAGCCTGAAGACTCGACCCACAGGGAACTGCAGACCAGCCATGGCTGATTTCGCTTTCTTTGGTGCAGCTTCAGGCTTGCTAGCCACTGTAAGTTTCTTTCCTCGCCCAGACATTCTGAATAGCACAGAGAGACAAAGAATTGGAGATTTTTCACTGTACCCAGGTGCTTAGGATACAGGTAACTGATAACAAGAAGAGATAACAGCAAGGATAGTTACACTTTGTACTCTTCTACATCAAGAAGAAAGCTTGTTCCTTTCATGAGGGTAGGAAGAGCTACTCAAGTTCATTGAAAATAACTGCTACTGCCCCTTAGCAGCCTATTTTTGAGAGAGCAAGAGTGGTTTGAAAAGTTATCAGTAAGACTTACTGTAGCAAATGTAAAGAGCTCAGAAAAGCAGTTTTTCAATTATTAGAATGTACTGGAGATTGAGACAAGATGGACCACCTTACACATACCTTACCTTATTGTCTTAAACAATAACTTATCTCAGCGCTAGCTAAAGGCCAAGGCTGCCTCTTTTTCCAGGAGAACTCAGTATTCAAACTTCCTTTATTGTTATATTAGATTTTCTGAATTCACATTAAATACAAAACTTCAAGGACTTATACAGCCCACAAAGCCTTATCTGAGGGAGACCAAGAGATTTGCTCTATAGTTTCTAAATTTATTCTTAAATAGATTTTTCTGGTTGCTATAGAACTATGGAGACTACTGTGCATGAGAGAGAAAGAATCAACTTGGACATAGTGTTATTACAAACATAGAAATAGATTTTACTGTCGATTTACTAGAATAGCAATCAAGAAATTCAGTTCAGCTAGAAAATATCTGCAGTTAAAGCAGTAAAAATACTTGATTATCCTATTTATTCAGACTTAAGATATTGTTTAACTTCTAGTACAACTGTTTATAATATAAAAGAACACATATCATTAGACTAACATAATTTGTGTAGTTTTTAAATAGAGAAGCTTAAATACTTAAGAAATAACAGAATAAAGTTTCAAAGGGAAGAAGCAAAACAAAAAGCCTACCCTGTACCAAAGTCTAAACAAAGCCAAACTATAGCTTATTACCTCCACCTTCAAACAAATGTTTTTAGGTTAGCTTACATTGCAGATATACTATGTTACACATACAGTTTTTCTACAAAGTCACCCCAACTTTTTCCCTGAGCTTTATAGATGAAAATGATATCCTGTTACCTTCCAAAGAGATATTTTTAAGCCTAATTTGTGCTTTGCTATAGCCTACAGTCAGAGGCAAACAGTCCTGAAAAAAAACCATTCCCCCTAACTTGGAGCAGTGACTTTTATGAGCAAGATTTTCTCCCCATTAGTGGGGTCACCTGGCAATTAATGAGTCATTCCCACATGTGGTTCATCTTCTTCCAAACACTTGACTGGAGGGAGAAGGAAGAAAAACAGTCACTCTGAGGTAAATCCTTCTTGGAGTGGGAGTCTAGGCAGTCTTCAAAGGCTAAACTACACTTATAATCTCTGTGCTCATATCAACTCTTAGTTGTTGGGGATGGAATATTTCTGTTCGTGTACTGCATGTAAAAATCAATCCTTCCTTTCCTGCTAAGGCTTGATTTAGACAAGTATATAAAGGAAATGTGAGTTTTAATCAAGAAAGAGGAAGGGAAATGGAGTAACATGGGTGCTTTCTAGGCAGAGGAGGCCTTTCAGCAAAGAGAATGGAGAAAGACTGTTAGCTTCACTTGTACTCTGTGAGCAAAACCCCCTGAAATGATGTGAAGGGAATGCTTCTAAGGTGTGTGATGCTTCTGATGTAACTCAGGACTTAATCTGAGAATATTGGCTTCTGGTGCTCAGGGTCATTGGTTAGTTCCTCTGAATTGACTTGGGTAAGAATCTTACCTAATACAAGTGAGTGTCTTCGTATAATCACAGAATGGCCTGGGTTGAAAAGAACACAATGATCATCTGGTTTCAACCCCCCTACTATGTGCAGGGTGGCCAACCACCAGACCAGGCTGCCCAGAGCCACATCCAGCCTGGCCTTGAATGCCTCCAGGGATGGGGCATCCACAGCCTCCTTGGCAATCTGTTCCAGTTACCACCCTCTGTGTGAAAAACTTCCTTCTGATATCTAACCTAAATTTCTGCTGTCTCACTTTAAGACCATTCCCTCTTGTCCTATTACTATCAACCCATGTAAATACTCATTTCATTCACCTTGTAAATAATGAGTGTACTTTTTGTGCTTATGCTCTTTTTGTATTTGTTTCTAGGTATCCAAAATAGGTTCCAAGAGCAACATGCAAGAACCACATGCATGAATGGTATTTTCAGCTTCAGAAGATGGTATTAAACCAGCAGGGCCCCTTTAAAGCTCAGGCCCGACAAAACATTTGTATGCTGAAAGCTGCATAAGCAGGTAAGCCTTCTGTTCTGCTTGCTAGCTGTTAACTGTGGGTCAGAACCAAAATACTTTGGCTCCTAGTGGGGGCCTGAAGTAGATTCCAAAATTGCAATTCTAAAAAACTCAGCACAGATGCTGGCTTCAAAGTTCTTATGTAATCTATAATCGTGGCTCCAACACCACTCAGACAACCACGGCTTCCACAGTGATGAACATCTGGCGCACCTAAACATCAAGTTGAGTCTTCCTGTCCTTCAGGGCCATAGGAAGTGGATATGGAACACATTCCATGCATCCAAATATTCATTTTAACCATCACTGTCAACTGCAGCTGTGGCTATCAATCTCAAAGGGAGGACAGGTGATTGTGCCTTCCATTCAGTAGAACAGGCTAGCAGTTAGCACAGAAAAAACCTAGCTGGGTTGCAAGGAAACATAAATTTTTATTTCAGTCCCTTGGCGGAGCACAGAAAAAGAACAACACAATCTCAAGGCCTGCAGACTGGCTGTGTGAGATAGTTTCTGGGGACACGGGACGAAGCTCCCTATTCCTGAGCGTGCTGGCTAACAAACTACAGCACAAAAATGAAGGAAGGAATTTTTTTTTGCAGGATTCGAGGTGTGTTTTTAGGGAATGGGGTGCTGGCCCCAATGGAACAACGAAAGGATGGATTTTCCTACACGTCTGTGTGAAATCCAAGCTCCAGAGGGGCTAGGGATCTCATACCCAGCCCATTCCTCTGTGGTGCTCAAAACCAATGTCAAAGTGACTATCTAGGCACCACCTGAGGGTGGCTGGGCACAGGCTCCCCAGCTCAGCGATCACAGCCCCATACTGCTGGATTTCAGTCCTTTCCTTCTAATGTGGAAAGGACTGCCTGGATTTTCAAACAGCTCGCTTGCGAGAGGCAGACGAGAGACCCACAGTCCGTAGCCGTATGCCACACGCTCAGCGACAGCCGTGGAGCCCAAGGCACCGAGCCTCCAATCGGGAGTGGGCCGCGTTCACAGCAAGCCCTGCCTTATTAGGCGCTCCGGGAAGCGGCAGTGGCGACACGAGCTCCGCCTCACCCCCCCCGTCCAGCAGCGCCGCCTCTCCGCGCCGCGCACGCCGGGACTGGCCCTGCCCAGCGCCGCCGCTCTCCGGGCCGCGGTTCCGCAGGCAAGATGCAGGTGAGAGCTGGAAGTCCCGGCAGTCCGGCCCTGCCCCAGTCCCCGTGGCGCGGGGGAGCCCGGCGGAGCGGCGTGCAGAGCCGTAATGGCCAACGGCCTCGGCCCCGGGCCTTCCCGATGCTCCTCCGAGCGGGGCTGCGGCCGTGCGTGGCGTTGTGGGGCGCCGGGTTGGGCTCTTCTCTCTTTAAGGGCGGCGTGCGTTTTTTGCTGTTGTAGTAAGCAGATGGGTGGGTGGCTTAAGCGCTTCTGCGTGTTGACAGATGGCAGGAGTGCTAAAAAGTCTGCAAGTACTGTGCCTTGGGGTAGAGAAGAGATGTGGTCTCACAGAGTCACAGAATTGTAGGGGTTGGAAGGGACCTCCAGATCATCTAATCCAGCCTCCCTGCAAAGCAGGCTCCCTACGGCAGGCTGACAAAACAAAACCAACCTGGTGTGTAACTTAAAAACATTTCTACTGAGTTTCTCAGCAACGCAGGGGTGAACATTGGGCTTTTTTTGGGGGGAGCCGGGGGGGGGGGGATTATTGGAACTTCATTGCGAAGGCTTTTAAAATTCAGGAGCAGCCTCAGTACAGACCTAGATATGTTCCCTCACAGTGGCCTTACCTTGAGAGACTGTGTGCACTTTCCTCCAAGCACTGGCTTAGTAGTGATCACAGCACTTCCAGACCTTGTACCCTGCCAAGATGTGCTCTGGAATAGAATCAAGTTACTTCTCATGGGGCTACAAGGCAACCTTGGTGTCAGGAGGATGCATGCTGTGGCTTTCTGATGCTATCCGGATGATTTCACTTCATCCCTGTGCTGTTTCCTGAAAAACTTGCTTGAATGTAGAAAGCTCTCCTCAAATACCTGTCATCCACTTCTTGTTTTACTGTAGGACCCAGAGAAAGACACCGAGTGGAATGACATCCTGCGCAAGAAAGGTATCCTTCCTCCAAAGGAAAACAGAGAAGAGCAGGAGCGTGCAAAGGAAGAGGAGCAGCTTGAAATCCTTCAGAAATCTCTCGGTGGGTGCATGTGCCTGTGAAGCACTGTGTCCTCTTCTAAACCTGTAGGGCATACCAAAAGTAATTCTTGTACAGGGTTAGCTGTACAAGAATACCTTGTACAGGGTGTTGCATCTGTTAACAGTATCAGACAAATATGTTCCAGAATATATGGCCTCTTCCAGAGCAGGAAGACTCTCTTCTTGATGACAACTCCATGATTTTGAAATGTTTACATGCAGTTGCAATAAGAACTGTCTCAGTGGAGTATGTTTATGAATGTACAAATAAAACATCTCATAAACATGATCATTGTATGCATGCTCCATTATTAAGCCATCCCTGCTGTATTATATGTTTGTGCTGCAGTCACAGAGCTTGAAAGCTAGCTGTGGTTCTTCTGTACCAGCATAGCCAGCCTTTGGCTTAGAATCGTTGTTGTCTTTACATCTATGTGTATAGAGTTCATCATATTTTCTAAAAAAAAAAAAGTAGTGTAATATTGGAGAGGAAAAAGACATATTTCCCATACATAAAATATATTTCCCATACCTAAATTCTGTTAGACTGAAAGGCTGATGAGTTTTGTTCCCAGAATGATATATTTGCTGATTTGATGTTGCTTCTCTTCTAGTGAAAACATATGAGGACATGACTCTGGAGGAGCTAGAAGAAAACGAGGATGAATTTAATGAGGAAGATGAGAAAGCTATTGAAATGTACAGGTTAGAACATCATGTGGAACTTGGTTTTAATGAAATCTTTTTTTTCTTTTTTTTTTTTTCCTTGAGTATCTCTTGTGATTTCTACTATCTAGCTTGGTAGCGTAGCATCTGCAGAAGACGTATCAAATTCCTTTCATGGAGCACAATTGTACTTACTGCATGTTGATGCTCAAAATGTGGTGCAAATAGGATAACATCTGTAGCCTACTTCAACTTGCTTTTATCGCTTTGGGGTTTCAACATATTTGTGATCTGCTTCTAAAATCTGGGTTTCAGTCAGGTACTTTAAAAATGTATCTATTTTTAAGATCTCTTTCCCATTCTCTATTGTTCAGACAGCAAAGATTAGCAGAAATGAAAGCAGCTCAAATGAAGAATAAATTTGGAGAAGTTCTGGAGATTTCAGGAAAGGATTATGTTCAAGAGGTTACGAAAGCTGGGAAAGGTATATGGGTAGTCCTGCACCTCTACAAACAGGGGTAAGATCTTAATTATTTAACCTTTAAACCTTTCATGGCTCCTGACAAATGTACAGTTATTGTGGAAATCGAGGAACTGAATCTGGAGTTAAAAGAATTGTTAGTAATTTGCTTTCTGTTGGCTTCAAGACAGCTCAGCTTTGTTGTTCAAATGGTGTTACTGTGAAGGGATGCTGTTGGTATCTTAATTAAAAATGGACAGCAAAAAATGTAACAACAAACAAAACAAAGAAAAGAAAAAGCCACATCAACTTCTAGTGGTACTAATTTAATGGGAATGCTAGAGAACTGAACAAAAGTAGTCAGAATTGCTTTCAGTACATTGGTCTTCCCACTGAACTGTTATTTCTGACTCTTTTTTTTCTGGAGAAGATTGCTATCAAATGAGTCTTTTTTTAGTTTTTCTTATACGTGTCTCTTGCTGTTCTTGACAGAATTCCACTCTGTGCCTTAATAAACCAACATTTAAGTGGACTTGCGAAAAAGTACAGAGATGTGAAATTCATCAAAGCTATCTCTACCACCTGCATACCCAACTATCCCGATAAGAATCTGCCTACGATATTTGTCTACCTTGAAGGAGACATCAGAGCTCAGTTCATTGGGCCTTTGGTGTTTGGTGGCATGAACTTGACGAGGGATGGTGAGTATCTGCATCCAACTGCTGTGAACATCTCTGCAAGAAGCTAAAGAGGAGGAGTGAGAATTAGGAGAATGGAGATCACTAAGAGCCGCGTGATGAGTTGGTTTTGCTGTTATCTTCTCCCCACCGTTTGGCTCAACAACACATGATAGCAATGTTGTAAAAGCAGCAAGTATAGGCCAGTGTAAAGGTATTTAGAAAGCTGTGGATTGCAGGAGGTTGGCAGGGAGTAACATCATAAAGCAGTGCTTGGAGACAGGTATACAATGGAATAGGCTCTAATTGTTGGAAAGTAACTGGAACAAATGCCATTCCTGGACTTCACTGGAGGTAAAAGGAGGATACTTGTTGGCTTTCTGGGTAGGTGTGTCAGTACAGATACTTTCAAGCTTTTGCAAAGGCATCTTGATCTGAAATGAGCCGCAGATAAGGAGTACTTCAGGTCCCTGCTGAATGGTAGCAGTTGCCTGTGTTGCGGTAGGATGCAAAGAGGTTTTTGTAGTGTGCTTTATTTTGTTCATTTAATAAAACCCTAAAGTTTGCAGGTTACATTGAGTACATGCTGTAGAAGATGCTCTGTTTGACGTGTCAGAAAAAGAAAAGCTCACCTGTGAAACTGCTAATTTGAGAATAACTAACTGTATATAGAGGTTGTCTCATTATACATTGAAAGGAACAGTGGTAGCAGAACACACAGTTATCTTTCCCCCATTTTTAGCACATAAATAATTGATTGAGCTAGCTTAATTCAGTCACAGAGAAAAGCTGGGCACTGAAATTCTGTACTTTTATTTCTTCCCTCTCTAATTCTAAGTGATTTCCATTGGAGATGAAGTAAAGTGTGTGCTTGTATTCGTTAGTCTGTAAAGTCTGAAGAAAATTGGGTTTAGTGATGGATTTTCTAGCAGGACTAGGAGAAAGGTTTCAACTGAGTGTGTTGTATAGACTTTCCTCTACTTCTGGGAAGCAATCCAATTTGGATCTACTTAGTAACAGGCACACTACTGATGGGCAGTTTTGTTTTGTTTTGTTTTTTTACTGTCTTGCAAATGAACTAATAATCAGTGCAAGGAGTAGCTGGAAAGGGGTGAATTGCACTTACGTAAGTATTTTTCAGGGATATACTTTACAATTCAGGTATATTGATAGAATAGCCTCAGTGGCTAAAGAAACTTAGCTATTCCTGCTCCTTCTGACTGTGCTGAGCTTGCTGTTTGATGCAAACAGCTGTAATCTCTCAGCAGTGCGTGTTCAAATCTGATTTCTCTCCTTAACTGGATAGAAGGAGGTTGTGTTCTTTCAACAGGGAAGTTGCCTTATGCAAAGCTGCTGCTCTGTGTCCACTGTCTCTGACATTCCCCGTTGTAAAGGGAGCCAGGAAGCACAAGGAATGACATTGCAGGCTCAGAGTACTGCTCTGCAGACAGCCCAGGGCACAGAGCCACCCAAGTGGTTGAGATCTGAGTCAACACTCCTAATCTTGAAGGGAGGACTTGGCTGGAGTGGGGTGAGGGACAGGGCAGTGGAGCTGAGATGGGGTGGCAGGGGAGGGATAGAGTATGGCCCTGGTTTTGATGATATTCATGGTAGTGTGGTAAGAGAAGCCAGCCGGGGAAACAAGGTGGGAAGAACTGAGGAGAACTGTCAAGATCAGAGGTCCTTTTTCCTTTTGAGAGTAAATCAGAAAGGTGAGGAGCTGTGTGTTGGGGTAAATAAATCAGCAAATATCAAAAGGCATCAGAGATAGAAAACAGCCTAGTCTGCTTCCCCTTATTCATGACATTCTTATTTTGCTCTGTGTAGAACTGGAGTGGAAGATCTCGGAGTCAGGTGCCATCAAGACAGACCTTCAGGAGAACCCCAGGAAACAGATCCAGGACCAGCTCATGTCCTCCATTAGGGCATGTGTCCAAACCAGGGCAGAGAGTGACTCAGAGGATGACTAACTCCTGCATCAGCATCAGGATTGATACAGTACACTTGCAGCCAGCGTTCCTGCCTAAAAGACTGGAGGTGCTCATCAAGATCTTCCTGAACCCCAAAGTGGAACATTTCAAGACAGCCATTTATCTAGAAATTTAAAGTCGGTGTTTTTTTGATTTTGGTGATGTGGGTATTTTTCCTGAAAAAAAAAATTACTGCAGCTTCACTTGAGATCATGAAAGACTTTTTATATTACAAAGCCTGAGTAAATCTTACTCCAAGTTTTAAAATATAGGTATTGCTAGATACAAAAGTCTCTTGTTATTATTTTCTTAGTGAACTGCTGACGCTTTTTTTCTTTTTAACATAAAATATGAAGTGACCTAAAGCGTAATAGTTTGACTATGTTAGTATAAAAGTTGATCTTAAACATGGTGAGTTACAGCATGGCACTTGGTCTTCTGTTAACCTGTCCTGTGTAGATGCTGGATGGAGAGAGTGGACTGTGGAGAGCTCAGGGAAGTGACATGGGTGCTGCTGAAAGCCACGTGTGGCCCCTTTGCAGTGGGGTGCTGGCAGAGGGGCTAGCACAAGTGGGAGAGCTGGGGGCCCCATTGTCTTCAGCGATGCATTAGTGATGGTCAGTATCTTCTTGGACCTGCTAAGTCCAGAACTCCCTTTCATGTACGTGAGTTTGCTTAGCAGCAGTACTTTGCCTTTTGCAGCACTTCTTCAGGAAAGAAGATTCAAGATAATGGCATTCCAGTGTGAAATTACTGACTTCCACTTACAGAGAACTTCAGTGCTTTACTACAATAATGCCATTGCCATACGGAAGGGAAAACAATGTTTGAAGAGCTAATCTTATCTTCCTATATTAAAGCAAAAATAAAATACTCTTCTAGGTAGAACAGTAATAATTGAAGTCTTAGTTCAACTCTATCTCTTCCTTTCCTGAATTATAGCTATTCTAACATTGAGCTGTGTGCTTATTTTGGATTGGAACAGTAGACACTAAAATCTTTCTCTTTGAGATCTGCATAGGGATTTGAGTGTAACTTAAGTATTTTATTTTTTTTTTAAACAACACTGTGGAAGTGAGTAAAATGCAGCAGGATACAGGCTGATAAATATTAGTTATTACATTTTGTATGTATTCACACATTTCTTGACAGTGGGCTATGCAAAGTGCTATCAGACCTGAGCCTTTTTGGTGCTTACCTGTATCTCCTTACAGTCTGGGAAAAGGACAATTCTTTCTCTGCAGAAAAACCAATAAGTGACTTCTACAGAAGTCATTTACATTAAAAAGATTCTAGCAGAAGTCTGCATGGTTTTTCTTCACTTGTCCTTTTTGAAGTGTGCATCGTTTCACACCTTGCAATGACCTCTGAGCGTATCAGCTGGGTTTCTTTAGGAGGATGCTAACGGAGAGGAGCAACCACCAAAGGGCATTTGATACAAAAAGTAAAGCAAGAGCTAGTTTGAAATAAGACCCTCTGTGAGATGGTTCGGTATGAATGTCATATCCTCAGCCTTTCTCTCTCCACATTTGCTGCTGTTAACAGTTCAGCTGTCTTAGTGCAGGCACAGCTGCCATACTCTTCTCAATTTATTTTTAAAGCTTATCAACTTTCCAGTAAGGAGAGCAGAAACTCCATTTTGTGTCATTGCTGCAACATATTCAATTTAAAGTATAATCTAAAAAGTAGCTAGAGCTCTGGATGCATTTTTGTTTCTGTTACTAGCTCTCTTGAGCCTCTTTAAGGAAGGAGGGTGGTGATAACTGCAGGGTAGGCTTTTGTGGTTTTCTGGACCGCTGGTTTCTCCTGTTATGGTCCGTGAATCAATACAGTATTCTGTCTTCAGTCTTTGCCTCCAGCACATCCTCTCTGTGCCTGTCAGATACTTTCATCCAAGGACTTACAGTGAGAAATCTTGCTCTGGTTTGCCATGCACATCTTCCTGTACTGATAATGTCTAGTCTCTATTCAGCACTTTCTTTTCAGTTTTTAAATACATATCTGTGACCAGGACGGGACAGCCTATGTACTGCGAACCCTTAATATCAGACCACTGAAGAGGGCATGTATTTAATAGCATTGGATAGTTTGGAGGTGACCATGAGAGGTCTCTCACAAAGTCTCCTGCACAAAGCAGTTTGGACATGCACGAGAATGCACCTGCTACTGCTGATCATTGGGTAGCTGAAGGACAAAATGCATCTGATGACCAGACCATAGGAAATTGCTATGTGCTTATGACTTGTACCATTTTTTACTCTGTATTCTTGTACATCCTGTACTCTGAGATGCTTGATGAGTTGACATGTGGGGTGCCGTTACAGAATATCATCTTTAATGGTGTAGATGGGACAATAACAGAAAACCAAAAGAGGTTGAAGGTTCTGCTGAGCTACTGACACTCATGCAGAGCATCATTTTTAATGGTCTCTGTGCTTCCTGGTATTTGGCTAAGTGTGAAAACAGTTCTTTGTAATCCTGTTCTCTTTCTTGCCAATTGTATTGTCCCGATCAAGGCCTTTTGTAGAAATTAGATCTCCGGTGGAGATGGATAATGAGCTCTGTTTAACCTTTCAGCACAGCAGAAACTACGGAAGCATTCAGGTAAGGGGAATGAGCTTTCATTTAAAAGGAAGCCAGTTGCTAAATAGCAAACCAAACCAGCCATTAGTATCCATAGCAGAATGAGGCAACATAATGTGGGAAAATAACTGGGGAAACCGAATGCTCATTTGCAAAGATTTGGGGCACCGTCGCTAAATGCACTTCTCATATTTTTGCAACCTGGCAACAATTAGTGTCAGATCAGTGATCTCTACTGTGCACTGAGGCTCTGGAGAGTCAAAGGCACTGATCTTGTAAAGCCTGCTGAGTTTCGTAGAAGATCCTGTTCTATGCAGTGCTATGAGAGCGTCGCTGACTCATCCCACACAGCAGCAGTGCCTGAGGTGGGAAGAAAAGTAACCATGGGCCACAGAGAGATGCGGATGATTCACCATTAGTGGACAGTCACTCGAGTTCTTTCTGTGTGTGTGAAATGTGAGTAAACCTGTAGTCACAAGGAGTGCAGCCTTCACAGTGTGGGTCTTAAGTCTGCTGCTTACATGGGTTTTATGTGCAGGCAGATTAAGTTGATGGCAGGCTGCCCTGATCCAGCTAAGTCTCCGCTCTGATCTTCCTCTACCTCGATCTGCTTGCAGGGATGATCTGCACTCATCAAATCCTGCCAAACCTGGAGGGTAACAATTTCCATGTGCTTTATACATACAGAGCCCTGTGTTGTGTACAAGCATGGTAACGAAGGGGAAAAGCCAGTTCTCCAGGTTCTTAGACCTACCATGGCCAGGGTACCTGTGCTTGGACACAAGTGTTCTCAGAAGCTGGATTTCAGGAGGTGATTTTCATCAACCTTCAGCTGTATTTTTGTTCCTGTACTGCAAGTTCAATTTCACAATAGTTTATCACTATAATCCAGAAAGTTCTACACTTCGGAGTCTGTGTAGCAATATGAATTAACATTTCTAATGCAAACCATAGTAACTTATCTTGGACTAACTTGTTTTGTAAGGGGGGCAAAAAGAAAAAAAACCAACACCATAATATGAATCTTTTTCTGCATATTTATTGGGATTAGATCATGTCTAAAGGAACACTACTGTTGCTAAGATCAAAGGGGACCGCTTTCCCTTCTCTATATGCCAGTCACATCCTTTAAAACCACTGCATTGCTAAACCTAATCTATTCCCTGTCAATTGTTGGGAATGCAGCATGTATCCAGTTAAACTCATTCCTCATTGCAGCCCATTTTAAATCACTCTTCATTTCAATTTCATTTAGCTAATTCAGTCATCAAAGGAGTGCGAGAGGCATAAAGTACTTCATTGATGCGCTTATCTCGTCACAGAATTAGAAAAAGTACTGAATATCTTTGGTCTACTTGCAGGAGGCTTTTGTGATGCCAGGAGAGGATTCACTCCCTCCCTTGGAAGAGTTTTGAGCTTCAGATGAGAACCATTGAGAAGAAAATCCAAGCAGTAAGAGTCTCTCTAGACTTGTGTGGGAGATTGATGAGCGTTCCAACTTGTTTTTATGTAATGTGTTCAATCTTTCATTTCCTGACATGGCACCATTTTTTTCAGGCCTTCAGCAGATTAATTTTAATTTACAGAGCTGACTGATGGAACTGAGGTCTGATAAGAAATGGCAGGAAAAACATCAAGTAGTTCTGAGGTCATTTCCATTTCACACTTAACGTGTTAAGTGATCAAGGAATTACATAACTTAAAGTGGAACAATCCCATGTAATAGGTGTTAACAGACAATTAATGAGCTGAATGTAATCTTTACAATCAATATTTGTAAGCCTCTGGATCAATATATCTACTATAAGAAGCCACATTTCTTCCAGTACATTGAACAGCTTAAGCACAACATTATTTACGAGGCTCCAGCTTGTGGAGGCAAAAGTCACAACAGCTGCCAATGAAAGCAAGATTTTCCAGACAGCTGCTGCTTACTTGTAAAGTGACACGGCCTCTTGCTATGGCATGTAGCAATGGGTTGATGGTTGGGCTAGTTCTGGTCCTTTACCAACTTTAATGATTCTATGATCCTGATCCCACTCATACCCATTGGAAGTACTGCCATCAACAAGGAAGGCAGCAGAACCAACTACATCTCAGTTTATCCATCTGCAAAATCATACAGACCACGTGGGAGTTGGGAGACCTCATCAATTACTTGCTCATATGAGGATGTTTGTTACAAAAAGCTGAAAGCAGTGATATTCAGAGCCTTCAAGGTGACAGCTGCTTTCTGTAGCATTGTTGTTCCTGGGCTCAGGCAATGAGAGCAGGAGAAAGTCAGCAGTAGTCCCTAGTGAAAGTTGATTTCTGCTATGACACTAAGGCATGGGCTATTCTCTTTTGCAAGGAAGTGCTTATTGTAAAAGGTTGCAGAGTTTGTTGGGATGAAAACACAAGAGAATATGCAAAACTTGGAGTTGAATTTCCTGGCTGGTCGCTACTGCAAACTTCTGATTATGTCTAACTAGCAGATGTAATGGGGCTGCGGAATGAATAGTAACCAGATCCTGCAGGGTGACCCAGGCCTTACAACCTCTCCTGATGAGACAATGGGTATGGATGCCAGATCTTTCAAATACCCCCATGGGAGAACAACCAGGTTGCTGTTCCCTGTGTTTAGAAGGTGATGTGCTAATAGAGAAAGCAAGTTAGAGACGAAATGTTTGCTAGCTCAGAAAGAAGCTCAGGTCTTATTGTTTGAGGA